AATTCCAAAATTGGTGAGTGAGGTCTCAGATGATCCATCACCTTGGGGATTTTGCAATGGTCAGACAGGCAGCTTACACTTTTGCCTGGAGTGTTTACTTACTTTTCTGTTTTTCTAGGAGTTTTAGGGAATTGATTGATAAGCAGTTCTAAGATAACTCAAAGGCCATCAGCTTTGAAGGTGGAGCTGAACATTATGTCACCAAAAGACACAGTAGTTCACAAATCACCTTGCTAAGCAAGCTTCTCAGAGCAAGAGAAAAGTCTGAGTATTATGAGGGACTCAGGTTTTCCCAAACCTTCTTCAATTCATTCAGCAAGCTCCATTCCTGGTGGTGGCAAACAAAGGCTGCAATGCACTTGCTTCTCTGTAAACCAATTTGCCAGATCTGACCCTTCCAATAATTTAAAAAAAGGTTAGAGGTTAGATTTCTTTTAGTTTTTTTTTTTTTTTGGTGAGGCTGGGGTTTGAACTCAGGGCTTCTTACTTACAAAGCAGGCTTTCTACCTCTTGAGCCATGCTTCCAGTTCATTTTGTTGTGGTTGTTTTGAAGATGACATCTCAACTATTTGCCAGGGCTGGCCTTGAACTTCAATCCTCCTGATCTCAGCCTCCCAAGTAGCTAGGATTACAGATGTGAGCCACAGGTGCCCAGCTCAGTTTATTCTTTTTAAAATTTAATTTATTTACTTATTTATTTTGCTGATTATGAGGTTTGTACTCACTTGCTAGGCAGGTGCCCTACCACTTGAGCCACCCCTTCCCCCACATACTTTTTTTGCTTTTTTTTTTTTCAGTACTGGGCCTTAAACTCAGGGCATTCACCTTGAGCCACTCCACCAGCCCTATTTTTGTGAAGAGTTTTTCAAGATAGGAGTCTTGCAAACTATTTGCCCGGGCTGGCTTCGAACCATGATCCTCCTGATCTCTGCCTCATGAGTAGCTAGGATTATAGGCGTGAGCCACAAGCGCCCAGTTTTTTTTGTTTTTTAGTTATTTTTATGTAGTGTCTTGCATTTTTGCCAGGGGCAGGCCTCAAACTGTGATACTCCTACCTATTCCTCTTTTAAAGCTGAAATTACAGATATGCAGTATCTCCTTCACTCTTTTGTTGAGACTGGGGGTGGGTGTGTCTCACTAACATCTCTGCCTGGAAGTGGGATCCTCCTGATCTCCACCTCCTAAGTAAGTAGCTGGGATTACAAATGTGAGCCTCCTTCAGTTTATTCTAATTGTCAGTGTTTTTACTGTGACCTTTGAGAGTTCTGCAGGAAGTTTCTGACAAAAATGAGTCTTTGGCAAGCATCTGAGGAAACAGACAAGAGAGGAAGAGTTCCCTCTCAAAGGACATCTTAGTCACTGTAGGAGAAATTACTTACACCTCCTTCTAAATAAAACATTAATGAATTTGAAAGGGAAATCCCCTTTTGGAATCTGGAGAATCACATAACATTAAAAGCATATAGAAATGAGGATGGAGAATTATTCAGAGAAGTAGATAAGATAGAAGCTTGAAAATAGCATGTTTCTACATTTGGGCATTGATAAAAAGCTTTGAAAAAATAATCGAATACTAGGCACTGATACATTTTAGGGAAAGCTAATCCCACTAAATATTTCTGTAATTTCAACACATGCTTGGGATTAGTTGTTTCTACATTAGCATCCAAAGATAAAGTCCCTTTGCTAAAATGACATTTTACATGTTGACACATTCAAGCAGGAAGATGCTACAGTATGAAAAAAGGACACCACTAACTCTACTTTTAATGACCCCCATTTCTCCAAGCTACCAGTTCTTCTCTCTGGTTTGATCTCTAATGTCAAACAGAATCTGGAGGCCGGTAGCAGTGGCTCACTCCTGTGATCCACTAGCTACTTGGGAGGCTGAGATCTGGAGGATTGCACTTCAAGGCCAGCCAGGGCAAATAGTTTATGAGACTCGATCTCCAAAAACACCCGAGCACAATGGACTGAAGGTGTGGCTCAAGTGGTAGAGCACCTGCTTTGCAAGTGCAAAATCCTGAGTTCAAACCCCAGTCCTATCAAAAAAGAAACAAAAACAAACAAACAAAAGAGTTGGAATAGTTGTCTGAGTTTCCTCTGTACCACAGGTCTAGAAAGTCATCAGTGAGGAATAAGTAACTCGGACAGCAGGTTTGAAAGTCCTGCCTGCATAGGGAGAGGAACAGCCAGCATAACAAGACTTTCCTTCCACTGGCATAGCTCAAACTTCACATCACTAAAATTCAAACTACATGCAACAGAGGAATTCCGTAAGTATCCAGGGAATGGAAAGTGGATAAAACAGATTGAAGAGCAACTTTTCAGTCCCCAAATGTCCCAAATACCTTAAAAAATCTTCTTTTATTTCACCAGTTCTTAAAACAGTGGAAGTTAGGCATGGTGGCTCACTACTGTAATACTAGCTACTTAGGAGGCAGAGATTGGGAGGCTCATGATTCGAGGACAGCCGGGGTAAAGGTTCACAAGACTCCATCTTAACCAATAAAAAAAAGCTGGTCATGGTGGTGCACTCCTGCCATTCCAGATACGTGGGAAGAGTAAACAGGAGGCTCATGATCCCGGCTGGCCCCCGAGGAAAACTGAGAGACCTATTCAAAAAATAAATAAAGCAGCCAGTCACTGGTGGCTCATGTCTATAATCCTAGCTACTTAGGAGGCAGAGATCAGGAGGATCACACTTCAAAGCCAGCCCAGGCAAATAGTTCTGAGACCCTATCTCGAAAAACCCATCACAAAAAAGGGCTGGTGGAGTGGCTCAAGGTGTAGGCCCTGGGCTCAAATCCCAGTACCACAAAAAAAAAAAGTAAAGCAAAAAGGGCTGGAGGCATGACTAAAGATGTAGAATGCCTCCCTTGCAAGTGCTAGACCCTGAGTTCAAACTACAATACCAAACAAATACCACAACTCATGTCAAACTGATACTATGGAACTTTCTACCATCAAAATGCACTACCAAAGAAGTTCTGGAATAGGATACAGCAGAGATAAGACCTATCCTTTGGGACTGCGGTGTCAAACCAGGAAATCCCGTTTCACCAATCAGAACATCCTGTTTTTTAAACAGAAGTGCCTTTGCATTGTGTCATTGTGTTAATGGCTGGTAGCTAGTTTTTTTTTTTTCTTTCATCTGCCTGTGTCTGCTGTTTCAACTTTGTATGAAAAACTAGCTCTCTGAGTGTACATTTTGATCTTGGAGAAATTGGCTATCCTGGATACACCTGGATAGCCAGAGTGTGTCTATCTTGGTAGTTTTAGTGCTGATTTAGTGAGCTAAGGAATAAACTAGAAGCCAGGATGCCAGTTAGAGCTAAAACAGTTTCACTGAGTGACCACAGGACTTCCTTCTTGACCAAACTGAGAGAGAAGACTGTCACGAATGACATCAATACTCATGAGACAAAGCCCGTTGCTGATTTAGATGACAGCATAACTTCACTATGTCTTATCCAGTGTTGCTGGGTGGTATATGTGTGTTAGTGCTCCATAATTTTTTTTTCAGTACTGGGGTTTGAACTCTGAGCCTCACACTTGCTAGTTAGGAGCTCTACCACTTGAGCCACTCCACCAGTCCATGTTCCATAATTTTGATGACACTTTGTGCCCATCCAAGGGAGAATATTTCAAAATTGAAGTCTAAGAATTCCCTAGAAAGAATCTTAGAGATTATTTATGTACTGTGTGTCTTTTTTTGGTGTATTTTTGTCAGGACTGGAAACCAGAACCTCCTGCATGCTACTCACATGCTCTATTACTGAGTTACATCCTCGGCACATATTTCACATTTCTAAGATGATATTCTCATAAAAATTCAAACAATAGCATAAGTTGCTTTTTGTTCCTTTTGACCACCATTACCAATTCTAATTTCATCTGCGGAGAAAATCAATGTTAAATAATTATGTATCTTTCTAATTTTTTTCTGTACATATACATAAATAATGCAACTATAATGTATCTGTTAACATTAAATACATACCATCATACTTTACATACTTGCTTATTTTTCACTTAATAAAGTGTTTGGAAATTCCTTTTTTTTTCTTTTGGTGGTACTGGGGCTTGAACTTAGGGCTTTAAGCTTGCTAGCTTGGTGTTCTGCCACGCCTCCAGCCTCCCCCGCCCCCTTTTTAAAAAAGTGTTCTTTACCTACATTTTCCTCTCACTCATTTTGCATTAGTAGAAACCCAAACCTGAAGCGGTAAAATGACAGCTACACATAAGGGACCAGATATTTTTCTTCCATCAGTATTTTTCTAATCAAATAAAAATCAATTGTTATTTATGGAACAGAAACAGGAAAAAATCCACTTAGAATCCAATCCTCTCAATACTTGTTTACGCTGTCCAATGTGTTTTCACAAAATATGCGTAACTACTTTCAAAGAACACAGTTGTAATCCAAACACGAATTCAACTGTTCAGTTTTGTTTTCATTAAAGTCTATTATGTTGACTTAAGATATTCATGTGACTACGATGTCGATTTGGAATGACTGAGTGATGCAATATTTCATTTAAGAGTCAAACCATCTCCCACTACGCCAATCTGCCTTCCACTGTAGTAAACGTCCTCAAAACTTTCAGGTCTCCCACCACTTGTTTCACCTTCCCCCAGATCCTGGGTGGTTTCCACTCTCTTATCTTTCTCAGGGCCGTTTCTCAAGTTTTACAGAGCTCCTATCTTGACCCTGGCAGGGTTTGGGAACCCCAGAATTTACTGGTGTGGAAAGATGGAAGGGTCATTGTAGGGTCAGAGCGAAGGGGCTGGGTCCAGCCCTATCTATTCACGTGATCAGTTCTCAGGCAAAGGAGTTCGTTTTCCCACCAGAGGGGGCGCTGGACACGATGGGCGGGTGGCCAGGCTCTCCCCTCCTGGGTACTCCTGGGCGTCGCCCCCCCACCCCGGGTGGTGACGTAGTATCTCCGCGCCGGGGGCGGGTCGCGCTTGACGCCATCTTCGGGCGCCCGGCTGGGGGGGCGCTGGGTGTGGGGCGGCTCCGCGGCCGGGGATGGCGGAGGCCGCGATCGCGGCGGCTCCGGGACAAGCGGGAGGAGCCCGGGGAGTGCTGTGAGATGGGCCGGTGAGTGTCGTCGGGAGTGGTGGCCACCGGGCAGGCCTGAGGCCAAACAGGTCTGGGTTCGGAGCTCCGAGGAAAGTGGCCCCCTAGGAGCCGGTTGCCCCACCGGGCTGGGCCCTAAATGCGCGGACAGAGGGAGCGAAAGAGACCGCGCCTAGACCCTGCGTACGCTTCTCTCCAGCTGGGCCTGGAAGGCGGCTTCAGGCTCCGCTGCCCCTGCGGGCCAGGATGTCCCAGTCCTTGGAGCGGGAAGGGGCCCCCAAACAAGGAAACGTCGCCTGCGGGGCCTCGCCTCTGCAAGCGAGGGTGCCTTGAAGGCCGACCCCTACTCTGAAGTCAGAACCCCCCATTTCAGGCCTTACCTTTGATAGACCTACGATTGCGGGGTCACGGAAAGCCCAAACCCCGAGACTCGTCTAAGCTTCTCGGGTTCTGTCGGGCGCACGTCTAGTCCTCTGCGAATTGGGGTCTCCCGCGGGGCTCAGCCTCTTGATTTCAACCCAATCGTGATGAGAAGCTTCGTTCTCGGTTCTGTCGGCAGCTCTCTGGTCCGGAACCCCAGTTGGGTTCATAAGCTGTATCTTCCCCTTGAGAAATTCTCTTCTAAGCTCCTCCATCGGCAAAGGTTTCAGATTCTGAAACGTTTTTTGCCTTGTGGGAACCTAGTGTACAGACTTGGCTCTCGTCCTTTTGCCTCTTACTAGCTTGTGTCTGCTAACCCTTCCGTGACCTCGAGGCAGGTTTTCTTCTGCGTTTTAGCTGCAGAAAGCAAGGATCATTCTAGGAGTGACCCCAGTTTCTGTTGGGAATGCTAACTGCTTTTCACTTTCTGAAACTACCGCCAGAGAAGGAATGCATGACTTGTGCCCGCTATGTGATTGGTTTGTGGAATTAGGAATTGGTTTTCCCATCTTTCCTCCTTTTGTGTGTGCTCGCATCACACCGATTTTACAAGGTAAAATATTGCCTTCAGTTTGGATTGAGGCTTGCATTGCTTCGTGGGACTGGGCAAGACAGTCAGTCGTTTCTCAGCGTACTTGTCAGTATTGTTTTCTCTGAATTCAGAGGTTAAGGCTCACTTCTTAAGTACTTGACATTTCTGGCAAGTGTAGATTCAGATATTGATAGTTTAATGGTAGTGGTGTTTCCTCATTATTAGTTATAGAGGACCAAAGTGATGTTTTCAGTTTCTGTTAAACCTGATTCAGCACTTGGTGTAAAGTTGTCACACAGAAAATTTTACACATACACATATGAGTCCATTTTTTTTTAACTCTGAAAACCCGTTGAGAAGGTTTCTGCATTGAGTGACTCCCCCCGACCTCTTTTTCTGCCCCAGAAACATAAATGGTCTTTTTCCTCTAGTGCCACCTCTCCTGTTTAAATAACCTCCACATCTGTGTATTCATAGGCCCTGAATAAAGGTGAAATTCCCTGCTTCCCATTGTTCACATGGCAACAGTGTTAAGTCTCTCATTTTTATTTGTGTAAGTTTAACCTTTGCAGAATAAGGTACACAATGAAGAATATAATGTTAAAGGAAATTAAATTTAACACATGGAAATTTCTTTCCAGGGATGTCTTCCTACAAATTAGAGTTTAAGAGAAGGCTTTTTTTTTCTTTTCAACTGCCTGGGCACTGTGAGTGAATGTGCTGTTGTCTCTGGAGAAGATGAGGCGTGGAATCCTTGTGGATTTTAAATTTTTTGCGGCTTTGGATTTCCTTTCATAATGACCCTGGGGAGGTCAGAGGTCAGGTTTACTCCATCCCTATTTCTGTCTTCTAGGCTCCCAGGTCAGCCGGGAGGACACTTACTACAGCTGCCCAGAAGCACCATCAGAAGCGCAGGTAATACAGGCACTATGGATTCCTTGTTGCAGAAGAACATCTGGGATGCAGCAGTGGGAAAACAGAACAGAATGTGATATCATAGAAAACTCTTCTCAGATCCAAAACATTGGAACCTAATTGGAAGAAATAGGTGGCAAAGTTCATATGCATTGATGTGTTCGTACCAAAAAGATGCTTTTGACAGAGCATAAAAGCATATGTGAAAGGTGACAGTGGGAGAAAGGAGATAGTGAACTTTCTTATGAGTCATAGAGACCTAAGATAGAAACAAACAAGTATATTTGGAGGAATGGAACCAGAATTTTATTAAGTAGTGTCTAGACCTATAATAGAAAGTGAGCTATTGGCAAAAGGAGAGAGAGAGAGAGAGAAAGAGAAAGAAGGCAAATTGAAGGTGGCCAATAAAAGTCTTGCTATGCTAGGGAACAGGAAGTTTATTTGAGGTCAGAAGAGTTTCATTGTCCAAGTTGGGATGTAGAGTTTCTCGGTGCAAAAAGGTACTACAGTTCATAACATGTTTAGGAAGCAAGGTTTTTTTGTTGTTGTTTTGATTTTTGTAGTATAGGGGTTTGAACTCAGGGCCTCACACTTGCTAGCCAGGCTCTCTACCATTTGAGTCACTCCAGCATCCCAGGAAGCAAGGTTAAACAGAAAAAAATTTTAAAAGGACACGCAAACTTCAGGTACAGGTGATATGAAACAAAGGAGGATAGGAGTGTAGCTAGTCTCAGGGTAGGAGGGATGGGAGTGATGTGAGTAGGTGAGATCATAACCTAAATTAGGCTGGGGAAAGGAAGCAAGAATGAGGTCATACTTTCAGGGAAAGAAGATGAAACATTAGTCTTTGGTAGTAAAAGGAGAAACTTAGGAAAAAGAGCCAGCAACAAAGACCGTGTGTTCAAATCCCCCCTTAAGGGATAAGAATGAGAAGAGTCAGGGTCCTCATGAGGGGAGAAAGTAGTTAGGAAGCTGTTGGTCTGGATGTTGTAGAGCCCTGAGGTTATTTATACATCTTGAAAGCTCATCCTTGTATCTTTGTGCTTCGTGGTTTCTCTGACTGTTTCTTGTCCTAGGCTGATGAATGAGGAGATGGCCTGCTTGTCTGCCCCTTTCTCATGCCTTCTTTTCCACTAGTCCTCTCTGTTACATCTTCTTCTCTGGGCACGGTCCTTGCTATTTCCTTTGACTTGGTTCCCTAGATTACTTTTCTTTTTGATTTGTTCCCTAGCAGATGTGGGCACCCCAGCCAGCAGCAAAGAAGGGTGCAGGGAAGCTACAGAGAAGCCCCTTCTGATGCCCCAAGGAGCAAGCCAACCCCTTCCAGGCTCCAGGAACACCACAAAGCAATATGAAACCTGTTCATGAGAGGAGTCAGGAATGCCTTCCACCAAAGAAACGAGACCTCCCTGTGACCAGCGAGGATATGGGGAGAACTACCAGCTGCTCCACAAACCACACACCCTCCGGTGATGCCTCTGAATGGTCCCGAGGGGTTGTGGTGGCCGGGCAGAGCCAGGCTGGAGCCAGAGTCAGCCTGGGGGGTGATGGAGCTGAGGCCATCACTGGTCTGACGGTAGATCAGTATGGCATGCTATATAAGGTGGCTGTGCCACCTGCCACCTTTTCACCAACTGGCCTCCCGTCTGTGGTGAACATGAGCCCCTTGCCTCCCACGTTTAATGTAGCGTCTTCACTGATTCAACATCCAGGAATCCACTATCCCCCAATCCACTATGCTCAGCTCCCGTCCACCTCACTGCAGTTTATTGGGTCCCCTTATAGCCTTCCCTATGCTGTGCCACCTAATTTCCTACCAAGTCCCCTCCTTTCTCCTTCTGCCAACCTTGCCACCTCTCACCTTCCACATTTTGTGCCATATGCCTCACTCCTGGCAGAAGAAGCCACTCCTCCCCCACAGGCTTCGTCCCCGGCACACTCATTTAACAAAGCCCCTTCTGCCACCTCCTCACCTGGCCAGTTGCCACATCACTCAAGTACTCAGCCACTGGACCTCGCTCCAGGCCGGATGCCCATTTATTATCAGATGTCTAGACTACCTGCTGGGTATACCTTGCATGAAACCCCTCCAGCAGGTGCCAGCCCTGTTCTTACCCCTCAGGAGGGTCAGTCTGCTCTAGAAGCAACTGCTGCCAATGGAGGACATAGACTGCGAGAGCGAAATTTAGTAAGACGGGAAAGTGAAGCCCTTGAATCCCCCAGCAGCAAGGGTGAAGGTCAAGGACTGGTTCCAGTGGCAGAATGTGTGGTGGATGGACAGTTGTTTTCAGGTTCTCAGACTCCACGAGTGGAGGTGGTGGCGCCAGTACACCGAGGGACCCCAGACACTGACCTCGAGGTCCAGCGGGTGGTTGGTGCTTTAGCTTCTCAGGACTATCGTGCAGTGGCAGCTCAGAGGAAGGATGAACCCAGCCCTCTCAACCTGTCCCATCATACCCCTGACCATCAGGGTGAGGGACGAGGGTCAGCCAGGAACCCTACAGAGCTGGCAGAGAAAAATCAAGCCTGTGGGTTCTACCCTCAGTCCCATCAGGAACCGGTGAAACACAGACCTTTACCCAAAGCAATGGTTGTAGCCAATGGCAACCTGGTGCCCACTGGAACTGACCCAGGCCTACTGCCTGTGGGCTCGGAGATCCTGGTAGCATCAAGTCTGGACATGCAAGCCAGAGTCACCTTCCTAGACAAGGAGCCAACGCCGCCCCCTATTACCTCCTCTCACTTGCCCTCCCATTTCATGAAAGGCGCCATCATCCAGCTGGCTACAGGGGAGTTGAAGAGGGTGGAGGATCTTCAGACCCAGGATTTTGTGCGCAGTGCCGAAGTGAGTGGGGGGCTGAAGATTGACTCTAGCACAGTTGTCGACATTCAGGAGAGCCAGTGGCCTGGATTTGTCATGCTGCACTTCGTAGTTGGTGAGCAGCAGAGCAAAGTGAGCATTGAGGTGCCCCCCGAGCACCCCTTCTTTGTATACGGCCAGGGTTGGTCCTCCTGCAGCCCTGGGCGGACTGCACAACTCTTCTCTCTGCCCTGCCATCGGCTACAGGTGGGAGATGTCTGCATCTCTATCAGTTTACAGAGCTTGAACAGTAACTCAGTTTCTCAGGCCAGCTGCGTTCCCCCAGGCCAGCTGGGTACCCCCCAAGAAAGGCCTGAGAGGACAGTTTTGGGGCCCAGAGACCTATGTGACAGTGAGGGGAAGAGCCAGCCTGCAGGAGAGGGCTCCTGTGCAGTAGAGCCCTCTCAGCCTGAGCCTGGTGCTCAGGCCTGCTGGCCAGCCCCAAGCTTCCAAAGATACAGCATGCAAGGGGAGGAGGCACGGGCTGCAATGCTCCGTCCCTCTTTCATTCCACAGGAGGTCAAACTGTCCATCGAAGGGCGTTCCAATGCGGGAAAATGAACCTCTTTCTCAAACCAGGACTGGGACTTTAACCCCACAGGTGAGCCCCATCATGAGCAGGCAGAGGATTTGCACACGCAGAGCAGGGAATGGCTCTCTTGGCAGTGAGATTTGGGGAAAATGGGGAGACATGAAGACAGCCTCCCAAGGTAGGGTCTGTTGCTCATTACCCCATAACATCCTTTCAGGACAGCCCCAGAGGGTGCTGTGATGGGGAACAGCAGGCCTAGGGCAAAGAAGGACAGGGGTGCACCCAGGATAAGAAACATTCCAAAATCAGGGCCTCCCTGTTCTTTCCATCCCTAGCTTCTGCAAGGGGGAGTACATCTTTGGGAGGATGTGGCAGAGGGAGGGAGCAAAGAAAGAGCCAAAAATGATGATCCACAGCTTATAGTAGCAGTAAAACTGTCTGAAGTTTCTTTTTTTTTTTTTTCTTTTTTGTGGTGGGAGGGCAGGAAGCCCCATGGTTAGAAATAAGAGGGTTCCCACCCAGAACCCATCTTGTGAGAGATGTGCACTTTAAAGGGTGATTTTGTTACAGATGTCTATGGCTGGGTTTGTGGGGGAGGAGCACTCATCTATAGAACTCTGCTTGATCCTCTGCTTCAGCCCTTTCCCATCTCCTCACCATTCCTCCTACAAGGCTTCAAGCATCTTGGGGGCCAGGAGAGAGAGAAGCCCCTCCAGGGTTCAGAGTGAAGGACTTCCTTGCTGGGGACCCAGTCAGGGAACTGTGGGGGAAAGACTGACCATCAGGTCACTGGGCTCTACACAAGATTTCTAGAAAGGTGGCTGACCTAACAAAGCTCCTACTCAGCATGCCAGGCCTGCTTAGAGATTTCATTGAGTCTCCAGTTGGTAATGGTGACTTTGGATAGAACCAGTGGACCCTTTTCCTCAGGCACCTACACCCCTCCATTGTCTGTCTATGTTGTGCCTAAGTGCCTGCACTGCCCCCACCCTTCTGCTACCCTGACCTCTGCATGGTGTCTTGATCTGGGCCTTGTGTGGCTGTGCTGCCTTTCCTTTTCTGCAAAATTGGCTTTGTCCACTCTGACCAAAACCTCTAGTTTTTGGTATGTAGGGGTCTCTGGTTTCCTTCTTAGTAATCTCCTCCTTTTAAAATCTTTGTTTTTAAAAACTCAAAATCATGTCGCCTCTTCCACTGCCAGATAGCTTGGTGGAGAAACAAAAAGGGAACCATGCCGTGGGCCAGGGCAAATGTGCCTGGCAGGACAATTCCCATTCTGGTATTCTTACATGACCCCCCCCCACACACCCATCTTTATTCCACTGCCTCTCCTAGTATTTGGGAGCCTCCATGATGTCCCCTCCCACTGCCAGCCAGCTCTAAGTTCTTTTGACATTTTAGTACCTGAAGTGTGTTTCATTTTGTGGTGGTGTATTCCTCTGCAGAGTATTTTTAATCTTAGTTGCATTTGCTTCCCTATGTCTTAAGCCCACATTTTTTCCCTCCCACAACTTTTGTCAACCTAGATCGTGGGATTCCAATGGGTATTGGGATTTAGGCTCCCCTACCCAGGTGGGTGAGTGGTCTTTTTTTGGGGGGTGGGGGTGGAGGTCTTTAGTTTCTTGAAGGCAACTCAGGGTATTGTCTACACAGCTCTCTGGTTAGTTTTCTCCCAGGGTATGATCCTGGCATTTCCTTTATAGATATACTTGGACTGGCCAAGGGCTGGCCTGTCATCAGTAGTCCCAATCTTCTGAGGTCTGAGCTCTGCTCTGTCAAAAGACTTTAGGCAACGGTCTTTTGACCTCTCATTCTTTCACTTCCTCCCCAGCTGCCAAATGGGGATAAATAATCTTACCTACCTCCTGGGGGGAGGGGAAGTTCTGAGAATGGAGTCATTCTTAGTGTTCAGGTGCTAAAGGTTGTTCTCCTGGGGGAACAGACTGACTTAGACTGGCTTGTTTGCTACAAGCCCTACACTCCACTATTTCAAACCTTGAGAGCAGTTACCTGGTCAGTGAGCTTTTGGGAGTCCATCCAAAGAAAGCTGCTGACCTGACCACAAGTACTTGTCTCTGGTTTGTGTCGGAACCACACACCAACTTTGTACTGCATTTGAGATCATGTTTTTTCCCTTTTCTGTCCCCCAATTCCCTGAATGCTGCTTTTTCTGGCTAGTTTCCTACAGCAGGGGTTTGTGGGGTTGAGTCTTAATGAATTCCCTCAGATAAGAGCCTTAGGAGAATGCCTCATCTTTGGCCCTTTCCTGAGCAACTTGTTCCTAGGGATTATTGTGTGCATGAGTTTCATATAAGCATCCTTCCTCATAGGAAGGCTCAACAACTGAATATAGTGACATGCATACAGTAGATGCTCAAGAAATGTCCAGCACAGATACCAACTGAGCTGCTTCTTTGTGGGAGCATACTTGTATCTGACCAGATACAGGCCAAGTAGTTTAAGTCAAATCACCCTCCACTCAGGCTTATTGTGACTTCCCAACCTGGATCCTTCCACTGAACTCTGGAAAGAGAAATTGTTGGGAGACCTTGGCAAGTTGAGCCCTGACCTGTCTGCTGTGATTCCTTTTGTGTCTTTTGCTGGTGAAGCTTTTTCAGCAGTTTCCCTAATATTGTGCCATGCTTATGTTAGTACTTGATTTCGCTGAGCTGCAGAGTATCTATCATAAAGTGTGGTCCCTAGGAAGAGAAGCTCAGTGCTCTAAATCTTGGTCAGAGCTGTGGCATTGCTCTTGCCCTTTCCCTGTGGTTCAGTCTTTTCTTCTAGGCATGAGAAATAAGAGTAATGCATGCTCTATTTCTCTTTATAGAAATTACCTAAGTTTCCAAGAGACAAGAGGATGGTTTTTGGAACTAAGCATTTTAATAGGAAATGTCAGCTTTTGGGAAATGGGCAATTGACAAAGGCTGGCCAGTCCCATCCCTAGTTAATAGGTTATTCTCAGAGCTGAGGGATAAGAGGGAGGACTGCTAACTCTCTGGCCCTGTACAGAAATGCCTATACAATTTGGGAGAAAGGGAACCGGATAAAGCATGTGTAATCACCTAAGTCTTAGATCATCATTCCTATCAAAATTAGGGTTCATGGGGGAAGGGATCTGGGAACTCAGAGCTGAACACTTGTACTGGAGGGGAGGGGACCCCCAGAGATCTGGACTGAACCTTCTGCACTCTTGGTCATAACACCACAGGCTTTGCTCTGTGCTGCTTTTGTCACTGCTGCTGTCTGCTCACTGTCCTGCCTGCTGCCCACTGTAGTTCTCTGTCCTTCTGTGTCTTTAGCCATGTAGATTAAATCCAGACACCTTGTCCCTTCTTACCTGTGTTCTGCCAGTGTTATTGCATAGCACAGTCATGTCTAATAGGGCTGGTATGAAATGCTGCTGGTGGGCTGGTGAATCCAAAGGGATATGACTTCAGTGCTGTTAGGAGCCCTTTGGTTCCAAAGATCTGCCTGTCTTGAGGGAGAAAATAGTAGTCCTATTAGTGGATATTTTCTGTTGTATTAGCTTCTTTTCCTTGTGGTACCTTGAATCCTGTTTTGAAAACTGAGTGAGGAGGAACCGTGTTAGACTCTGTGCCAGCATCTCAGTGAGATTCATCTAGCTATAGTTATGTGGATTCTGGTGTTAAGAGAGGGTTTAAAGTTTGGCTGAACTAGTTCTCCAGTGGGCTTTAGTTTTATTTTTACATAGGTGGTTTAGGGGAAGCACAGGATTGTGGTGTGATTTGAACTTGCAACAAGTAGGCATATTGAAGAGTTGAGTGATCACATTGGAGGTGAAAGTGGACATGGGTTGACTGGGAAAGGGCCCTGGCCCATTTGAATAAAGGTAAACTAGTTACTGAATTGGCCATGGAAGATTAGGCCACAGTCTTAGAAGCAAAGTAAATAGGACAGAGGCCAAGTTTTAGAGCGATGTCTTGACCTCCTAGGGCTAAGTTTACTAAACCATACTGAAGCTACAATACTTTCCAGATGGGAAAAAGTGTACACTACAGTTGAAGAACTGAACCCTACTAGGTTGGATGTTGATCAGGAACCTAATAGCCCTTTGCCGGGAAGCCCTTGCTCTCCAGCTTCCCTGGGGTAGGAAAGGTCTCCCACATTATGCAATAATAAAATAAGCGTCTGGGTCTCTGCAGCTGTCAGTTGCTCTTTCAACTCTAGGATCCATCTTTGGACCAGAAGCCTGGTCTGGGCCTTGGATGAATTGGCCCTTGATGTTAGAGGTTGCTGCACTCTCCTTACCTGCAGACTATGCACAGTGCCTGGGCAGAAGGAGAGGTGGTGCAGTTTGCCCTGCTGAGCCCTCCCAGCAGGAACAGTAGTAATAAATGCACTTTTCACACTAAAGGTTTCTTTATTAGTTCTCCTGATAAGCCTAAATCCTCCCATAGTAGATTGCAAACTCCAAGTCTGTGTGATCCCAAAGCCATTCCACTGCAAATGCCCGGCAGTGAAGATGGCCCCAAACTGGGTTCCTGTCTGCAGTGTATGTGGCAGCAGCCCTTGTGCCTTTACCTATTGTCAAACTTGCAAGCATTTATTCTGTCTTTAAGACTGTCATGGGGACTTGGGTTCTTCAGAGAGAGGGAAAGAACTGATGACACAGTGGTTTTACACCCACTCCCTAGACAGGGAGTTTGCTTGTAATTGTGAGCTGTGAGGGTTAGGGAGCTGCTGGTATTGCTGAAGGCAGGGTAAATCCCTTATTTGCTTTATACTTGCATTCAACAGAATCTAGATTGTGTTGGGGAACAGACTGACTGTACTCATGGCTAACTTGAAGTATTAAAATAAGGCTGTCCCCTACAAACTTCCTAGTCATACAGGATCCCTGTAGTCAAAACAGTATATGTTCCAGCTGCAGAGAGCAGATTGCTCTCGGCTTACACAGCACCTTAGGGGAAGGAATATATGGATAGGGAATGGGGTGGAGAAAGGATGGGAATTTTGTCATCCAGGTGGCTTTAGGGTCCTAAGGAGTACAGAACAGCACTGGGGAGGTCTGGATCTGATTTGTGTAGGAGTTCCCTGTAGATAAATTACTGATCCCCCCCCCAACTACTATCCCCAGTATGTAATGGCTGAATTAATATGTAATCAACTGCATTGTATCTAAAGCCTTAGAACTAGTCAGGTGCTCCCCCCACCCAATACCATTTCTTACCCTCTAATCCTACCTGATCTTTAACAAAGCATTAATAATTCTAAGGATAATCTCTATTTTGTTGTGCTTTTTTGTAACTGTTTTAAATAAATCAATTTGTACTGTATATTTGTACTTTTGTGAGATCCTTTTTGCTGTTTTACCATTTTAAGTCTCTGTACTTGGCTACACACAGATTGTATTTTTATTGTTAATGCTCTTCTTATGGATACCTGCATTTAACTTGTGGACTATGTAAACACAATATATATCAATATCTATATATCTATATATCTATCTATATAAACTACTAGCTTTTCCTTTTGGTGTTTGCGCCTTCTTCCTCCCCTAGCTTGATAGTGGCCATTGGAGGTGGGGGGTTGAAATGCATTGAGAGAGCACTTGGAACGGAATGCAAATGGTGCCTGTCCTCCTGTGGTGATCTCAGGGTAGATGGTGGGAACTACCTAAAGCATGATCTACTGTCTGTTGGACCTGAAAGTCCAACAGAGTCAATCAAAGGACCTGTAGGTATACTCACTGCTGATCTTTTCCCTTGGTTCTTTACTCTTGAATACTGCCAAAAATTGCTGGACTCAGTCAGCTTTATAACAGTATTTCTATTTTGGGAAGCTTGTTATCAGTAGGTGGTCAAACACTCAGATACATGATAATGACTCACATTTGTTGAGCACTTACTGTATACCAGAAAACTATCCGTGTGTGTGTGTGTGTGTGTGTGTGTGTGTGTGTGTGTGAACACACAATCATTTGTTGCTAGTTTCATTGTATCCATTTTGTGGGTGGAGAAACCAAGACACAGAAGTTAAGTAACTTGTCCAGGCTACACAAAAGTAAATGGCAGGGCAGTATTCCCTCCTCACCCCCAATGCTGGGGATTTAACCCACGGCCTTCCATATGCTAGGCAAGCGCTCAACCACTGAGCTGTATTAGCCCAGCAGGGCAGTTTTGAACCCAGTCATCTAACTCGAGTTTTTATTAACTCTAGTGTTGTAAAAATTAAATAGATAATCCAAAGTGGTCAGAGTAATCCTTGGCACATAGGGAATGCCCAGCCAATTTGAAACATCAAGCCTGGCGCCAATGGCTCACGCCTGAAACCCTAGCTACTCAGGAGGCAGAGATCAGAAGGACTGAGATTTGAAGCCAGCCAAGGCAAATAGTACTCAAGACCCTATCTGGAAAAACCCATCACAAAAAAGGGTTGGTGGAGTGGCTCAAGGTGTAGGCCCTGAGTTCAAGCCCCAGTACCTAAAAAATAAATAAAAATAAAAAATTACAAGTAAAACTTTAGTATGGAGCTCTGAGAAAGGCATTTAGATGAATTAAGTACTTACTTTTTTTAAATGTAATTTTCAGAACAAATATTTCAGCCTGGCTGATAGGAATTAACCTAAGTTTTGCTGGGAGTCAGCTGACACTATAAAAACAGCCTTAGACATATGGAGGTGGGAGAGGAGTCCCAAGTTTCTGTTATGATATTGGAAGAGGTCCACATTCCTGGCATAGTTATTTTTCTGGCTACAATTTAACTAGGGCACTTCCTTCTGGACCTCAAGATCTATAATTATCCAAACTGTGTATAACCTTTGGTGCAGGCTGAGGAAAGTTCTGTACCATCACAGAAACTTTTAGAAATGACCTCAGTTACTTGTCTCCTCCATGGTTTGGCAGCCACACAAACTGCCAGAATAGTCATTTGCTTCAGTCTTTGCCACCATTGACTTGAACTCTTACCACCTTAATCTGGGCTTCCTCAATGTGTTTTATGATCCTACCTTGGATCTGGGGAATAAATAAAAGGATGGTTGTCTCTTCTCAAACATGAATTCCATGGTGTTACTGACCTTAATGTCACAGCCATTTCCATAAACATATTCCTACATACAAATGACTTGCTGTAGAATTTTAAGTGACTTACGAACTTGCTAGGGAAAGTAGCTTGTACCTTAGTTTCAAGTACTGCATAATCTTTTAGAAAATGCCAGTTGTAAGAAAAGGCTTCTACTACTTCTGAGTTTGGAAAAGGTAAACTAAGTTTAAATCACCCTTCTGGCCGTAGACACCTTCATTCTGGTTATAGGAATGAACTCTCAAAAGTCAGCATTGGTTCCTCAGTGTCACAGTTATTTCTCATCAACTTGTAAAGAACCTCTGCTTGGGTAGCTTAAGTTGAGGAGCAACCTACCTCCAGAAGGCAAGCCACTAGAAGTCACTGCCTGAAAACTCCCACCCACCTCTCTTCATTAGCTAGAATGAAACTGAGCCAAAAGCAGGAAAGGGTGAGTAAAGATAAAATTAATTTATTTGCCCTCACAACTTCATGGGTCACCATGGGGCCCTGTAGTCCCAATAAGCCCAGCCTGCTGCAGTGGGCTGAGTTGTCCAGTTCTCTGGAGTGCCTGCTCCCTTGTCCAAAGCTGCCTTGACTGGGTCCCTCCTGATCCCATCATTCTACTCCCACACGCAAGGTGTGCAAAAATCCACCTGCAGCCAACCTGGGCCTGCCTCTGGCAGGAAGGACGGCTTTGTGGGTGGCTGATCCTTGTGGGTCTGGACAGAGGGGAAGGCAGGCAGGAGGGTGTGATTCAGTGTAGAGAGCTGCTGTTCTGCTCTTCAAAGGCCATCTTCCCCAGAAGCTGGCTGTCCAACTCTACCCCACTCACAGGCAGTTGGAAAAAGTTCATTTCAGCTGCTAAGGCTGCCATGGCTGAAGGGTCCTGACCAAACTGAGCTCTCAACATCATGTCCATTTTCTCCAGCCTCCTCTTGAGTCGTTTAGCCTCTCGCTCTCGGATGAGCCGGGCCTGCCGCTTCTCTGGGGTTTCATTGGCTCGCTTTAGTCTCATGGCCTCTCGATCTCGCTGCAGCCGGCGTGCTCGCTGCTCATCTGTCTCCTGCATGCGCTGCAGGCGCTTGGCTTCACGGTCCCTCATTCGCCTCACCTCTCGCTCCTCTGGGGTCTCATTGTCCCGCCGACTTTTCTTGGCTGTGCGCTCTCGTTCTAGCCGCTGTAGCCGTACTTCCAAAGGCTCATTCTGTCGACGCAGGGCCCACTTTCGTACACTGGGAGTCTGGGCTTCCAGTAGCTTACGGTAGGCAGCACAGTTGTTGCACACAAGCAGAATTCCAGCCGGGTACACTGGAGGACTAAATGCAACGTCCTTCCCCTCAGCACTGGAGGGGCCCTCACTGTGGAGCGGGGGTAGGGATTCCATATTAAGTACTTCAGGAAGTTTCTCACTAGAAAGCAAAAAATTTGGATGGGTTAATGTTTTCTTGTAGCAAGTCTCAGGTACCCTGTCTTGACTTACTCTTTTCCTACCAGGCCAACTGCTCCAAGTTCACCACTATGGGTAAGTTTGAATGCGTGGGAGCCCCTTTTTCCTGTTTGGACTAAGTGTCTACTAAGTCTTAAAGCCCACCTTGAGTTAGTGACCACCAGTCGCCAGAAATCAATGAACCCTTATATAGGGAAGCCAAATGACAGTGTTGTTAAGAGCTATGCAGGGCCAGGCCTACCATGTCAATGAAGGGGCCCAGAGGTGAAGGTTTTCTTCAGATACAGCTCATTGCCTCACTTTCTACCTGGTACTGCCTTCAATGAAAGGCAGCCTCTGCATTATATACCAGGCAAATGGTCTGAGGACACTGTTCAGAGTTCCAGTCTTCCTAGGAAACACTGGAGACTATGGAATCACATCAGGATCCCCTCAGCACACTGCAGTTTCTGTCTCCATGCTTTATCATGAATGTTCTTGCAATTCCCTAACATCTCTTTCTAGTTGAAGATATTCTGATTGGGAAAGAAATGTGAATTAATTTCCCTTGGGGATACAGCCTTACTATTTGTATTTCCAAATGGTCACATGTCAGTTACCTTTGCATTACCTATCTCTAGCCTTTCCTTTGACTTGGGGAAGTAGAACCCATACCCAGTAACTCAGTCCCAGCACAACAGGGTGCCCGGCTAACCTGTTAAAAGTGGCATGGCTGGTGAAACGGGCTCCACACACAGCACAGTTAGACCGCTGGTCCTCCGAGTGGATTAGGAGGTGGCGACCCAATGACCCTGGGGAGCTAAGGGCCCGTCCACAGACAGGACACATGTAGCTCTTGGCGCTCACCACTGCTGCAGTGTGCTGTAAAACAGAGCCTTAATCTGTCAATCTGGTACTACCTCCAGGACAATCTGCACCCATTTAACTACTTTGTAGAAAACAGCTTCCCCTAGTCTCAGAACAAGGAATTTCCAACTATTCTGTTTAGCTCCTAGAAAATCACAGCCTGTTGTGTTAGTGGGCCTTCAGAAGGGCTTGGCTAATTCAGACTATTCAAATTTTATTAGCTTGAATTCTGACCACAATCTAGGACATGTGACTAGACTGAAGAACAGTAGGGGCTCCAGAGCCCTCTTCAGAGCCTGGCAGGAATTCATGCTTGGGTTAGTTTCTCTCTCCCTGTCTCACACTGTGCAGGTACAAGTGCATATTAAGATAACACAGAAGACCAAATCTGGGAGCTGGCTAGGAATCCTAATATGCAACAGGTATTTATGTCCTGCCTTTCTACAATCTTTTTAAAATAGTCTTCCAAAGAAGTATTTCTCATGAACCAATGATTATTATAATACAGCTCAGGCTGCCCTGTGCACTGATGTCTTGTAAATACAGATCAAAAGGCACAGGTGCAGCTGGGTGCCAGTGGATCACGACTATAATCCTAGCTACTCAGGAGGTAGAGATCAGGAGGACTGTAGTTCGAGGCCAGCTGGGGAAAATAGTCCCCAACACCCTATCTTGAAAATACCCAATACATAAAAAGGGCTGGCAGAGTGGCTCAAGTGCTAGAGCGCCTGCCTAGCAAGCATGAGGCCCTGAGTTCAAACCCCAGTACTACACACAAACACATACACACACACACACACACACACACACACACACACACACACACACACACACACACACACCACAAATGGAATGGGTGCCCTACACCTGATCAATGTAGGTTAGGAGAGAAAAGGGCTGGAGGTGTGGCTCTTGCCTAGCACGTGTGAGGCCTTGAGTTCAACCCCAGTATCATCAAAAAAAAAAAAAAAGACAAGTTTGTTATACTGATCCCCTTATTTATACTAACTTGCACTGATAGTACCGAAACATTTAACTTTTTTTTCATCAAGAGCCCTCATTATTAATAGATGTTAGTTTCTATTCCACTATTAAATATATGCATTAAATAACAACAACAAAAAAATGGTGGTCCTTAATTTTCACAGTGTGTCTGCCTGGGAAACCAGAACTTATTTACCCAACATATCCCACTTATTCTATAAGATGTTCTGAATGTTGGAGTGGAGTCCTAATGGAAGCAATGACACAAGATTCCTTCAGGAGCCAGAGGCAAAGGCCAGTGCAGCATCTAGACTATAAGCAAGCTGTCAGTGCCCGGGTTCCAGAGTTCTCAGCTCCCCGCACCATACCTGATACACATGAGCGATAAGCTGGTCCCGACTCCCACAGTCCAGCTGGCAGAGAGGACACTGGCAGAGTTCAAGCAAGGGGTCAGAATTCAAGTTCTCTGTGACCTGTAATTCAACAAAGGCAAGTTATGAAGATTCTTCACTAGTCTCTTCCCTTCCTCACCTCTCTTAATAGGGAGCCCAACCTGATGTCACACTACTCTTAGGTTCCCATTGTGGGCCAAAAGCAGCAGCATTATTTGAAAGGAATTTAAATTTGCTTGTGTCTTCATTTTCTTCAAGGCTTTCTACCATGAGGACACAGGAGATTGCCACAGAGATAGCTGATTATCTTATCCCCCTAAGGCGAACTGCAGGGAAAGGATTAGCTTCCCTCCAGTCATGTTACTTGCAAGAATACTTGGGAAACAATTTCTTTCTTTTTTTGGCAGCACTAGGGTTTGAACTCAGGGCCTCCCGCTTGCTAGGCAGGTACTCTTACAGCTTGAGCCACTCTGTCAGCCCTTTTTTGTGATGGTGTTTCTTGAGATAGGGTCTCTCAAACTATTTGCCTAGGACTGGCTTCGAACCTCGAACCTCCTGTTCTGCTAGTATTACAGGCATGAGCCACTGGTGCCCAGCTCAGGAAATAATTTAGTAAGGTGGTAACACTTTGACTTAAATTTCCAAGTATATTCCTGAGTATACCTTAGAAAGTAAGGTTTTCATTTTGAAAGGTGGTTATTTTGTCTGGAAAGAAGCAGGAGCTTTAGAAGGAGAGCTGTTCACGGGTGCAGGTATAAGGGGGTAAAAAAGGAAAGCTGATGTAACAAAGACTGTCTCAGGTGGGGACTCTGAAACTGTGAAGGAAAAGGCTTTGTATGAAGGCTCAGGAGACTTAAGAGGCAAGACTGTGACATGTGGGTGAGAAGCATGCAGGCAGAGTAGAATGGTAGAGGCACTCTCAAGTTTAGGAGACTTTGGCACTTGCCTCATGCTCTACTACTTCGTTCCCACCACCAACAGGCTGCTCTGCATTTTCTAACTCTTTTTCCACTTTCACCACCCCGCCATCTTCCTCTGATGTGTGGGAAGAGACTTCATCTTGTGTGGTCTCCTCTTCATCACCCTCACTGTCACCTGGAACACACAAACTGGTCACTTCTTCTGATTTTTGCAGGAATATATCCTGAGCTGCTGTCCACCCTACAGACTGCAGTTATAATGGAAAACATTTTTTTGGATCTTCATAATATAGTTTGTATCAGGGCTTAGTTGGATAAAAATCCTTTTAAACAGAAACAAGCTGTAACTGTTGTTATGCTATATACACACTAAAGAGAAAATGAGGCAAAAACTGCATTTGACAGTAGTCACTGGGCCCTGTATATTATCATAAAAATAATTCTTCTTACACATGGTTCTCAAATATCTCACACCTCAAATCACACCCCCCCAAGGAACTCATGCTGAGCTCATTACCACAGCACACCACTTCTTGACTTATCAACACTTACTTTATGACTTACTTTTTTCTATAACCCCCTGCACAATTTCTCCATGGTGTCATAGACTACTTTATACTGAGCCCCAATTTTTTTCTCTCCCAACAAACCCAAAGACACACTTATAGAAACATTAGCAAGTTTTTCTTCTCTTTTATCACTAAAGTGCTAGTAGTAAGTTAGTTCAAAATGATGTCACTTTTATATGAAAATGGCTGTTCATTACAGTAGAAAAATTAGCACAGCAACCAACCTCACACAGAGGTATCCAACTTACTCTGGTTTTGTTGTTTTGTTTTGTTTGAGACAAAGTCTTACTATATAGCCCAGGCTGACCTCAGATTCCCAATCCTCCTGCCTTAGCCTCCAGAGTGCCCACTCCGTTCTTACTCCACTAGTAACACAGCATTCTAAGCTAAGTAATTCCATTATTTCTGTAGATTCCTTGGAGTATCTGATGGACAGTTAAATGCATTAAGTGGAAGAATGTACTATTCTTCACTTTAGGATGAAATACCATTTCTTGTGACTTACAGAAGAATTGAGTTTTAGTTTTGGGGGCAAGATGTGGTGTGAGAATGTCTGCCTGTGGCTAGGGAATCTGCAAGGTTTGTTTGAACTAATTTTTTTCTCTATTACTTATAAAATAGAAAAAAATGACTAAGAAAAACCTCACAATAACAAATGAAGTTCTTTCTGAGAGGGAAAAAATTGGTAGTACCTTGAAGATCACAAGAAGAAGCCAAGCCTATGGGAGCTGTCAAGACTCTAGACCTATCATGACCCTACCCAGATCCTGGACACCTAGGCCTGATGTGAGTAGAGAGAAATACATGATACAGTCTCAACAGGCTCATTGATTCTGTAATGGGACTCAGATTTCCTCCCAACAGTGCTGCTTATCTTCTCTTTACTATCCTGTACATAATTTCTAAATCCAGTGTCTGGAAAATATGGGTTTATTTCCTTTTTTCCAGGGAAAACTGGTTACATTCCCCTTTTTGACAAATTCTACTAAATCATCTTCTAGTAGATATATGTCTGTACTAGATACATCAGTCACTTGGAAGACTGGATATGAACCCTGAAAAGATCTATGGTATATATGCCTTAGTCCCCAGTCCAAAGCATCCCTTCATTTGAATTATCTCAATAGTGAAGGATTGGCACACATTAAATCATACCATATTTTCTAACAAGATTCTTATTTTGAATACTTATAAGCTTAGTCTAAAGCACTGCTGTATCAAACACATTCTTGAAATTTACCAATTATCCAAATCTCTCTGTCTACCAGGAAGATTAAAAAAAGGTGGGGGGTGTAGTCTAGAGGGATGATGTAACTCTTTCAGAATGGAAACCTATCACACAGTTGTAGATGTTATTATTCTAGCATGTTACTCAAGAAACTGATGGGTCCCAAAATTTTTCTAGAAATCTTAGGGCTAATTTTTCTGTATCTAAATGATTAATTGCTAGCTTATTTCTTGTGGTTATTGTTGATTAATTATTAGTTTGCAGAAAACTGTACAAACTCTAGAGTTCGGAACCCTTTTCTTCACTGAAGGTTGCAGGGCTCTCCCTCCTTTGTGTCTGTTCGCCCCTCCCCCACCACATACACACATACAATTGATGGAAAATCAGAAATGTCACTCTGAATTAACACCAATATCAAATGGATGAGATCAGGAAAGTTTGGAAATCTTTCTGGGATCTAAAACATCTCAAAATGTGTTGGTTCAGGCAGATCATAGAACAGATAATCCATGAGGCTCAATTTGTAAGAGCCAATCTTTTCCATCTCTTACTGAGATGAATCTACTGAGGGCTTTTGTGTGGGCAGATCTGGACTGTAGCATTTTATAAAATGCAGCATAATCTCATCACTAAGCAGCTCTTATTCAGAATTAATACTAGGCCCTCAAGCAGAAATTCATCAGTGCTACCCTTTTATTAGTAACAAATAGATTCTAGGAGGCAGGGATTTTTTCCATTTTATCTGACCTGATCCAGGGACTGCTTGAGCATTAAATATTCCTGTATGTTGGAATGTCCTATATCATAACTACCACAAACTTATCTGTGTATGGCACTGTGCCAAGTACTGTAGTCTGAGTTATCTGTCCTCTCTCTGAATAAGTATATGCTCACACTTAGAAAACCTTTGCAGGCACTGAGGAGTACATATCTCCTCCTTGACAGCTTCCTCCCAGCCCCCATGCACAATCCCCAGAGCACACACACTCTGATAATTCTTCTCCCATTGCCCTGAGTCATTACCAGAAGGTGCAGAACTCACTGCTACTGGAGTCCTGATCTCTTAGTTGTTGAATAGCTTGTCGCTGACTGCCAAGGTCTCCAGGAAAATCAGTTTTCATCATCGCCTGGCGGGCTTGCTCTTCTAGCCCAGCAAATACTTGATCCCCTGGTGGTCACAAAGAAAAATAGTCAGGCCACCAGCTAGGCAGCACATCCCCAGGAAAGCTGGTTGGAAAGTGAGACCATTAAAAGGTAGGAGACAGGCAGGCATCCTGTGGTTGGGTCATTCATCTCCAAGTAAGCTTGCTGCCTCCAATAGCTTCTGGGTACAGATGCTTTCCTAGGCAGCAGACCAGATGTTTTACAAAGCATCACCAGATGTTTTACAAAGCATTGCTTCTAACGCCTCTTATTCTTGACTCTACAAAAGGTGATCAATTACTACTTTGCTAATCTAACTATAGAATCTCAACTCCACCTACAATTTTCTGTCAGAATTGGGGAGACAGAAGCAGAAAGAGGCAAAGTGATGGGATGGAATCAAGCAACAAACATGGGCAAAATCTCCAGACCATAAATTACTAACATTATAGTTCTAACTCACTGTCTACCTTGAACTACAAACAAATGCTTCAAATAATCCTTATAAGTATATCTTTCATCCATTCTCCTTTCAAGACATGCTCTGGACATTCTAACTTGATTTTAGCCATGATAAAATCAACTAGTTGAATAATGGATGAGAGGGAGAGCAGATGATGTATGGACTCATTTCTGCTGAGGAACAAACTTCCTCATAACAAGTAATATTTATCTAGTCTCCTTGGTCAAGGTGGCCTTTGTTTTTGTATGTAGCATCCCAAAACCCTAGACCGACCCCTGATTTTGCATTTACTTCTGATGAACACTGCCTGAAATCCATGTGGTTATTAAAAAGTTAATATTCAAGTTCTCTTTTATTTCCAGGAGAACTAGGCATAGGAAAAAAAAGAGAGTCGAGTTTCTCCAGGTTTCCATTATCTCAGCCAGAGCAGAAACTACAGTCCCCCATTCCCCAGCCAGCAAGAAGGAATAATAAAAAGCCCCAGTGAAATGTTTGACAATAGACCAGGCCCTTTCTTAGCAAAGAGTGAAAGGAAAGTAAACAGGCTCAGGTTCTGAGACAGAATATGATGATGTGGGACGAACAACATCTGCACTACTTACTAGTCCTTGGGCAGTGAAAAAAATTGATGTGGAGTAAGCTTCATGTGATTTATTTATTCATTCAGCAAACACTCTTTAAGCATCTACTGCATGCTAAACATCAATTATAATTATCATTTTACACTTGCTAATTTCCAGCCTCTATGTTAAGTGCTTTATAGTTGTCACCTTAATTCTCTGTAAAACTCTATGTGGTATTACTTCTTATACTATACTGAGGAGAAAACTAAGGTCTATAATAGAAGCAAGTGTTCAAGTCTGGTCAACTCTAATGTCCTTTTCGTTTTAATTTTTCTGGTGCTCCGGATTGAACCGAGGGCCTCACACATGCTAAGCATGTGCTTTACCATTACCCCCTAATGCGTATTTTTAAAGTACTTTCCAGTAGACACATAAGTTCATGGTTAGAAGGTTCATCAGAGTGCTTTAGCTGAAAACAAACACTTGTTTCTGTGTGGGAAGAATGGCTCTGATCATATTGTTGGTGTTACCTTCATACCAGTGAAACAGATACATACAACTCAAATATCAAAATAATGTGTTCAGGACTAACATATGACAAAAGGAAAAATGATGGTTCTGATACCACATCATGAGTTACCCTGCAAGGATTAGAGTAACTGACATTATGGCAATTATGACTCATCCTGTGGGTAGGAATGGAGGTGGAGAGTGTTAAATGTACTCCTAGCTACACAGTCCTCAAATAAAGGAAAAATAAGTTGGTTTAAGTCCATGTTCACAATTTCTAAGGTGACATACTGGATATAAATTACTGCTAGAAAAGGAAAAAGTAAATTTTGTGTTACAGTCCTTCCTCTTTCCTTTCTGCAGAAATAAAATATTGCATTTCTCCATATTGGTTCCACTGAAACCACAAGACCATGGTCAACTGAACTAGTTACTGAATTCTTCTGAGTAGGTTCATGGTTTTGGACTTAGCCCTGAATGGACATAACAGTAAAGAATAAGTTGTAAACAAACATGTAATTACCAAGAGAAGACTATTCTTATCAGTGGCACCTTAGGTCTCTAAAGAAACCTAGCTAGAAACCAACTACATTTATAACATAAGAATGAATAATTAAAAATTTCCTTTTCATGCAGGTGTCCATGGCTCATGCCTGTAATCCTAGCTACTTGGGAGGCTGAGATTGGCAAGATCATGATTTGAGACTAGCCGGGGCAAACAATCCTCGAGATCCCATCTCCAAAATAACCACACTAAAATGGACTGGAGGTGTGGCTCAAGTGGTAGATTGCCTGCTCTGCAAGTGTGAAGTCCTGAGTTCAAACCCCAGTTCTACCAAAAAAAAAGACAAAACAAAAAACATTCTCTAAGCAAGATGTCAAGATCAGATAAAAGAAATTAGTACAGGGAGTAAGGAGTTTAGGATACCAATTCCAGCTGACAGTCTTTGTAACCTAGTCCTATCACATGTTAAGAACACAGGTATTATCTCACAAGAATGCTAACAAAATGAAGATAAAACTAGTGTGGTTTTTGGATTGGAGATGTGGCTCAAGTAGTAGAGCACCTGCTTTGGAAGGGCAAAGTCCTGAGTTCAAATCCCAGTCCCACCAAACACAAAACAAAAAAAACCCCACATAATATAAAACTAGTTGTGTGTTTTAAAAGAGAAAGGACCTTAAGGGATCTTATTCCTCCTTCACTGTGAAAAGCTTTTAGTTGAAGTTAAAGGTTATTAATATCTCATGTATTTTGCAATCTGAAAGCAAAAGTCTCTTAAGAAAAAGAAACGTGAGTGTGCAAGGGGCTAAATTTTCAACTTCTCTAGAAACAACTGACAGAGAGACTTATACTCAGAAGTGGCTGAGATGGGAAAGGAGGTAAGTCTAAAACAAAGATTGCAACCCAGTAGCAGTTTCTCCCTAACAATTCTGAGTTTTATTCCAAAAGTTTTCCAATGAATCTATTAATGAAGCAAGTAGACAAAAACGTGCCTGTCTGGATGTTTCTGGGGAAAGGACAGTCCACAGGAAAACCAAGTGAAGGGGCAAAGCACCCTGCCCATCATCTTCTACACTGGATCTGACAGATACTGCTGGACACTGAGGTGGGATTCTTTTTTTTTTTTTTTAGTAGTCATAAAAATATTTAGAAAAAATACTCCCATCAATGTTTATTAGTTAATGAATCCGACTTGAGTGAGTAATTTACTTTTGCTTTTCTGTATAGACCAATTAAGCAAAGTGTATTTCATTTTGCATGGCAGGTAAGAAATTAATACTTCTTTCTACCTTAAAAACTGAGATTTTCCTTATTATGCATTAGTTATTCCTATATGGATTGCTGTTGTGCCGCTGTTAAAAATAGTAAATGATACAGACACATGGGAAACAAACCATAAGCTATAATATTAGCTAATAATGAAATATATTAAATATTGTTTAAACATTAACAAGTACAGCAAAGTACTCCTATATTAAATAAGATCTGAGTTTGTCATTTTGGGATATAGGCTAGTACCACCAATAATAGAAATGGTTTAGTACAAAGTGTGGCCTCACACAAAATACGCCTACACTCACCATGCACACAGATGAAAAAAAAGGAAGAGGAAACACAACACTCAATACTGGTATTGTTTTCAGTAACAAATTAAGCCAGGGACTCTCACTCCTTCTTATATATTAAAATTACCTGGAGAACTTTTGAAAAATAGTGATGATCAGGTCTCCTCCCAAATAAATTAGAGTCAGGATTCAGCCACAGATGTTTCAAAACTCAGCATGGGATTCTAAGCTTCATGCCACAGTCTTTTTCCCAGAAAACAGTTGTCATGAAGGTCAGCCCTCATTCTGCTCAAGTGTTGATTGGCTTTGACATTTTAGCAAAGCTTCTGCAGACTTTCTTGCCTCCCAGACTTTCAGTCCATTCCGTTTATATAAAATAGACAAGCAGCTTTAAGTTCAATATATATGTCTGGTTCTATTTCATTGCCTATTGATAGGAGACTTAAGTGGTCAGAAAACTAAAATTATCTACTTCTATTTGTCATCATTGTCATGGGCAATGAAAAGATGATTTTTTGAAAAAGGCAGGGTCTGCTTCAGTCCCCAAATAAGTAAAAGGTCTTCAGAAACCAGCAAATATGTGTCTTTTCTTCTTTGGCCAAGCTTAGCTCATCACCTAAAAAACCTTCATGGATCCCTCTCCAAATGTATCACTGACCACAACCCGTCCCTGTAGACTTTTTAGTTGCAGCTAACTGTGTCCACAGCCCCATAGTAAAGGCTCTCTTACTAGTCACCACTGAAGAGTCTACAAAGTCTCACCTACTCCACAAATAGTACATTTACTTGCTTGAGTCTTATAACTGCATTTCTGCAACTTGGATGTGTGATATTTTCCCCTCCTCCATGGTCTGTTTGTTCATCTGCTTTCCAACTCCAATACCAGTATCAGGTCATCTTTGCTTTGACTGACTCTGATAGGAAGAAAAGCAACTGATGGCTATATGCTATATGGACACAGCAGGAGCCACACAAGTTTTGCTTGCTCCTGGGGCCTTACTATAGTCATGCCATCACCCTACCAGCTACTTTCCTCAAATTTAGTCAGTCTCTTTGGACAGGTTGCTCTTATAGGTGAACACTCAACTCCTGTAACTGCTTTATTTGTAAACCCATCATCTCTACTAAGGGTACCCTTCTGCCCTGGCCTCTTGTGGTTTATATTTCTTTTTATCAATATTTATCTTCAACCAGAAGGAGAAGACAATATCCTTCCAAATCCCTATGTTAGATGATCTATGCTTCCTTTTATCTCCTTTGGCAGTCCTCACATTTAGGTCCATTGCATTTTACTGTTTTAGCAGAAACTTCCTTCTTTATATTATAGCAACTTTGTAAATCCACCTATTCCAGCACCCACTCCTGGAAGCATCCACTTGGTTCCATCTTACACCACTTTTCCAGGGCTTGAACAGAAGAATGATTATATAGAGAGGCTTACTACCCTAATCTCATTAATCTATAAGATACTAAAGCTATCTTAATTTTTCTGTTCAAATTTATTTTCTCTCCTGCTCTTTTGAAATTACCTAGACAGATATATTATTTGTTAATAAATTTTAGTTCTCTTAACTCCTTGACTTAATCCTCTCAAATGCAGGGGTTTTTTTGTTTGTTTTTTGCCTAAAACAAATCTTTCATGTATTATACCTCTGAATGTTCTTTAAATGTTGCTGCACTTTAATTAGTCCTCTGTAATAAAAGAGTTATCTTTTATGAACATTTCAGCGAGAAAGTTTATCCCCTTCAGACTACAGGAAAATGGCTAATTATCCCAAATCTGCATAGATACTAATGAGGCTTAATGATAATGAGGCTTAACTTAATGAGGTTCTTTTGGAACACCTTCTATAAGCAGTGCTAGAAGTGAAAAGAGCTATGTAAGGAAATATATATGGCACATAGTCTCTGCCTTCTAAAATATTGTGTGTGTGTGTGTGTGTGTGTGTGTGTGTGTGTGTGTGTGTGTGTGAAACAGGGGTTTTGAACTGAGACCTTGGGCTTGCTAGGCAGGTACTCTACCAGTTAAGGAATGCCCACAACCCTAGTCTCTGCTTTCTAGATGTTTACAATCTAATTACTGAAATAAAATATACATATGAAACTGTTGAGAAACAATGAGAAGTAACTATGCGTTCCTGGTCTTCCTGTTTCTGGTTTCTTCCTCATGTGATCCATCCATCACATATAGTACCAAAACACTGGGTTCTAAATGTCACTCTCCTCTCCCTATCTGAAAATTTGTAACTCCCTAATCTACAAAACAAAATGTGTAAGTCGGTCTGAAATTCAGGCCTTCACAATATAGAATTAAATATCTCCAACCTCATGTCCTCTGGCTTTTGCACAAGTGAAATTTCCACTTTACCTGAAATGTACATTCCCTCCCTATTTTCCCTCCTCTCTCTCTCTGTCTCTCTCTTTTCAAATCTACTTTCTACCCTGGCACCTAGCATAAGGATTTGCACAGAGTAAGTATCCTATAATTGTTTGTTAATGTGAATATTAAGCATGAACCAAACACCCCTGACACATTAGAAAATACTTACTCGAGAAATGATCCACATTTGAATCCACATATCTAAAACCATTAATCCTTTCTTCTTTATAAATTAAGTGTGAACCTCTCACCTTAGTTTCAGGTTACTCTTTCATTCCAACCCTCAACATCCCAAGTTCCAAAAGACAAAGCTCAATACTCACAGTGAACTTTATTTGGATTTGTCTGTTTCCGACGGGACATGTTTCCCTGATCCAAGAACTCTGGCCTTTCCCAGTTTCACAACTGGATATATTAGTATCTCCTTGCAAGGTGCTAACCTGCAATTAAAAAAGAAAAAAAGATATTGTTGATACATGTCATTTTTCCCAGAAACTATATAAAAATAAAATATTTAAAAACTTAAAAAATGTATCTTTTGAGCATATAAAACTCACCAGTTATGAATATTTAAATGTAAGAAAAAAAGAAAAAGAAAGAAAATCTCTAGAAGGACATCAAGGTCCCAAGAGGGTTAAGAGGGAATTCCTTCAGAGGACTTAAGAGAATTCTACTCTAAATCCATCTTTGGAATCCAGAGTACTGTTAAGTGATCGTGATCATGATCAAGATGACAGGTTAGAAAAGGATGCAAAATTCAGGCAATCAGGGTTAGAAGTACTTCAGGCTCAAAAGGATAATCCCCACCTAGTGTGAAAGGAAGTCAAAGCTCCTATGTCACACATTCCCACACTCTCACTGGGAATCAGGTCCTTCAGTATACACCAATGGGAACCGCTACACTTTTTTGAAGAAGTTACCTCACTTAGAGGCAACAAAAGTATATCCCTGAGAAGCAGGAAATGCTCAAAAACCTTAGGCAGCTGTAAATGAAAACAGCATGGGAAATAGCCTCTACTGAGTGATGCAGGCACAATGCAGGGCATTATGGATGACAGGGCACTAGAGCAAATCAAACTTCCAAGTTGAACACAGACTCTCACCAAAGAGTGGGTTGACATCCACATTGTTGAGTATTTATATTCAGCCCCACAAGGTGGAACACCAACCTGGCTCTGCTCAAATGTTCTGGAAAGGTTGTCAAAGTTAACTTCTTCTCAATCCTGCCTCTATATAGTAAAGAGACCCATGCGAGGAACAAAGAGAAAAGCTCCTTATACAAGAAGAGAGACAGATGCATCTGTCCCCCAATATAGGACATGGCAGATCCTCAAGCGTGGTGGTTCCTGTTAATTATAAGAAAGACTGGCCCAGCTGAAAGCACTGTTAGAGAATCTGAAATAGGTTAGCAGAAGCTGTGACATTTTCTTTGACAGAGTTGGGGCTGGGGAATGTGGTTCGGTGGCAGAGAACTTGCCTAGCATATGTGAGGCCCTGGATTCATTCCCAATACTGCAAAAATTAATTATTTAATTCAGAGTGATTAAACAGATATAAAATGAAAAGAGGTTAAGAGATATTTTCCTTTCATACCAAAGATAGGAACATGGATTTGGTTAGTCTCAATTTTTTTTTTCTTTCAGTTCCTGCCTTCTCAAATAATACTCACATATAAAAACATAAAATGTAGCTTACTGCCTTAAAAGACATTATGAGAGGCTACTCCTAGCTGTACTTTGGACTCCAGTTAATGAAGACTCACCTCCTGTTAATGCCAACCAACTCCCCTACTTAGCTAAGGACCTCAAACCTGTAATCAGATCCTGCCTCCCCTTACCAAAAGAAGAAAGAGACCGCAAATGGCAAAGACAGGCCTCCACAGGAAGTGGCAAAGGAAGCAGCTTTCAGGCAGTCTTCTATCATATCTGCATATCAAACACAGTTCTTTTTCAGACCTTTAATTAAAAAGAAAGAAAAAACTCCAAATGTATACAGTAAAAAAAACAATTTTAATTATTAGGAGGGCAGCATACTGATTTATAATACAAATGCTATGTCTTCTCTAAATTTTATTTGTGTATATCATTCCTTTCTGTTTTCTTTGAGACAGTCTATGTTGTCCAAATTGGTCTTGAACCCCTTGATCAGGCAATCCTTCACCTTTAACCTCCTGAGTAACTGGGATTAGAGGAGTGTGCCACCATACCCTATTTATTATTTCTTTCTAACCAAGTAGTTATTTTATTAATGGAAACAGTGAATTAACATCACACTTCAGACCTTTTCCTAGTATTACTATGGAATCACAAAGTGGAGAGCTGAATGAAATGCAGGCTATTAATTTATCTAAAATACACCTTTCTATTGTATAAAGAAAAAAATGTAATCTTGTCTAATCTACATTTTCTTCCCATCAAGACATGAATTTGAAGCTGTGAGATAAAGGTAATGTTAATAAAGTCCTTTCTGAAGGAATGCCAAACGATTTGAGTTAGGCTCTGTTCAGATCATCTTGGGCAAGACAACTGTTCAATACAAAGCAAAGACAGATGAGCTTCTGCATATTTAAATCGGCAGTGTCCACCACCGCCTCTCACAATCCTCCTAGTGGCCCAGTGGGGGAACTGAAGAAAAGATACTCGGTGGGACTTCACACCTGAGGGTCAAGGGGAAATAAGCGAAACCCTCCCCTTCCCACAAGACTAAACAAAGCAACAATAATAAAGATGCCCACCAGAAAAAAGCCTGTAGGGTCATAGACTTGAAAATAAATGAGCAAATGAATGTCACGAAAGGACACACCTGACCACACAGCAAGATCTCAGAAGCTAGACAACTGTTTTACAGGCAGTAAAAGCTAATAAAACCCACAGACGCACTGCCCTAAAGGTGACTCGTTCCATTTTACTTTCAGCACCGCCCGGGTCTCCAAACCCAAATGTGAAACTACCCCAAAAACGTCACTGGACAGCGCCCTGAACAGCATCATCCGGAAGGAAACTGGAATGGGAGGACAGGTAAACTGAGGCTCGGGTCTACAAGGGGCCCGTCTTTAGAGAGAAGTTAGGCGTCCTTGGGAGGGTGCAACGCCTCCCTCAGCGCTGTCTCTGCTCTCCCACAGGTGTTGTGTTGCAGCTCCCAGAGCACAGCAAGAAAAAACAAAAACAAACACACGGATGCAGTGCCAGCCCCACGAAAGGCGGGTGCACTCCCACCTCCAGCTCTGGCGCGGTTTCCAGGAGCAAAGCGAACTCGCCTGGGTCCACGGGATGCGTATCTGCCGAGAAGAGGACAAGAAAGCTGGTCACGCAGCCGCTCGCCGCTCCCCGGGCCCCTCGGGCCAGCTCTGGAGCGGAGATGTGCCCTGGCTCTTCCCGAGCTCTAACCAGGTAAATAAATCCCCGGGAATTAGACAGGAGCCAGAGGTGGGTCCTCCGAGGCGGCTCCGACAAACCCTCAGACTAAATCTAAATTGACGCGCTCTTGTGCGAGCCGGCGCCGCGGCGCCCCGTGCCCAGCGCTCCCACGCCCATGCTCCCCTCCCCCAGCTCCACCCAAGCCTGTCAGACGCCGGGCCGTCTCGGCAGCGCGGGGCCCGAGCCCAAGGAGGCCCGGGGCCGGCCGGCGGCGGAGCGGGGCCCACGCGGGAGCGCGGCGGCGCGGACGCACTCCGCACCCGAGACCGCCGAGGGACGCAGGGAGCAGCCGCCGGGGCGCGGCCGCGGGGACGGGAGAGCCGGGCTGTGCCTGCCGCCCAGGCCGGACCCTCCCCAGACACAGACAAAAGGACCGACAGCCGGCGACCCACAGGCTGGCGAGGCGCCCCTGCGTCCCCCGCCGGGCCGCGGAGGAAGGACGCGGTGGTTGTGGTGGTGGTGGGGGGGGGTCTCTTTACCCGGAGCCTCGGCACTCTCCAGCGCTCCGGCTCCCTGGGCCCCGCCTCCGGACAGACGGACCGCCGGACAATGGGCCCCGGGCTGCAGCTTCGGGCCGGCTGGGCCGGGCTCTCCGGGACCGGGCCCGGCGGGCGGAGGACGGCTCCGGGCTGAGCCGGTGGCGGGGAGTCGAGGGGGCGGCGCTGCAGACGGACAAAGCCAACGGCAGACAGACGGACGGAGGGGGAAAAAGATGGCGACCCGGACGGCGGGAGCGCGCTGCTCGCACACCCGCAGCGTGAGGGGCGCGTGCACGAGTCTCACCTCTTCTCCTCCCCCTCCTCAGCCTCGTCCCCCTGGCCTCTCCCCAGGCGCGCGCCTGGCAATGTGGGCGGGACTTGAGGCAGAGGGGGTCTGGGGAGGCGGGACTTAAGGGAGCATCCAATCACTGACGTCGGAAAGGGGCCTGGCCCGCATCCTTCAGCCGGCGACCACCTATCCTCGCCCCCGCCTCTGGCTTTCTCCGGCGCTTTCGGGTCTTCTGCTGCTCCAACTCTCCCAGGGCGTGTGACCTGCACCCGGACTGTCAACTCCGATCCTGGTTTCCTACCTTGCCATCGAGTTCAGCCGCAAAACCCACATCCCCCAACCACAGCCCCACCAAAGGCTCCCCTCTCCTTAGCCCAACCTGAGCTGCCCCCTCCGCCATCATAAACCCTCCTCCCTCCCCATACCTCACCGGTTCTTCAGCTCCCCGCTCCCAGGCGTTTAATATGACGGGAGAGGAGCCACGCACGGCCTCTGTGGGAGGGGCTAAGTTCAGCTGTCACAACTGCAGACGGAAAAATCTTTAGGTGTTCTTTGGGGCATTTATTTCTCTAACATGATGGTCGGTTGATAAAATAGCAAAAACTTGTAGTCCCGGGGGCAGAGTAACTTGGGATCGTTGTTGCCACCTAAGGAACATCTGGGACGATTGAGAGCGGTTGGACTCATTTCCTAATAAAACATCTGTCATGGAACCCTTCTCCTCATTGCCTTCCCTTTCTTTCTCCCATTCTGTCTTCCTGTAGAATGCCCTAGTCTGCCTCTGATTACACCCACTTGGAGAAATAGGAATGAAAAGAAGATGAGATCTGTTATTAGAAGATCCAGTTAGAGTCCCAGTTTTGCCCAAGCCTGTAGACTTTGGACAAGTCACTTCCCTATTCTGAGCCTCTGCTTCCTAACATGGAAAATAGGTAATGTAATTCCTGACCTCTGTTCCCATAGAGGAGTTGTGCAGGTTAAGTAAAATGAATCTCTGAAAGCATCATGCAAGTATGTCTTATGATTACTGGTTCCACAAAGGCAAAACCTATGAGGATACTGACCCTTGCTGATAAAATGGCAAGTCCTAGTATTTGAATGGAGCAGTCTTGCAAATTGTCCTTCTCACAGATCTCCAATGAGATGATGTCATTGTCCTTATCCATGTGTTTCATGTGATAGAATGGCCGTATTGAAGGATCTTGTTCCTTTACAATGCTGTGACAAATAACTCATTCACTCATTATCTAATGTGACTGGGATATTTAGATAGGAATTGTTGCTCAAAATCATCCAAGGAAACATTTAATTTGAACATTTTAACTTCTACATAACCAGAAAATGAAATATTCTCACCAAACCACTAAGCTTTTAGAATGTTATGTGTTAAGAATGCAAGCTGATTTGGGAATATAGCTCAGTGGCAGAGAGAGTGCTCACTTAGTGTGCATGAGGCCCTGGGTTCAATCCCCCCACCAAAAAATAAGAAGGCAAACTGAAATAAACATTAGCTTTTATTCTTCACAGTATTTCTTGATCAATGTAGAACTGAGATGCAAATGTGGCTTTATTATATCATTTTGAAGTTAATGTGGTTGGTGTTTTCAACAAGAAAATACGTAACTGGTAAAGTTAGCCTCCAGTTAGGTTTCTTGGGTTCCTTATTGAGTTATTGTGTACAGTTGGGTGGCTTGGGCTTGGGACGCAGGTCAGTGGTAGAGTGTCTGCTTAGCATGCTGATGGCCCTGGGTTCAACCCCAGCAGTTATGTGGAGGAGGGTTGGGTGGCTTGCTGCAGCTTCTGATAAAATAAGGTCATAATCTATTCTTATAACCTTCCTGGGCTCTTGTTTGTTACTCCCTCTTATTCCCCCTCTTCCTATGTGTGTGTGTGTGTGTGTGTGTGTGTGTGTGTGTGTGTGTGTGTGTGTTTTGTTTTTTGGTTTTTTTGCAGTACTGGGCCTTCACCTTGGGGCACTCCACCAGCCCTATTTAGTGAAGGGTTTTTCAAGATAGGGTCTCAAGAACTATTTGCCTGGGCTGGTCGAACCAAGACCCTCCTGATCGTTGTCTCCGAGTAGCTAGGATTACAGGTGTGAGCCACCAGCACCCAGCTTTCTTCCCATGTTCTGAGGCGATGTGACTCGGAGTTGTAATCAAAATAATGAAAAAACTATTAAAGTATTAGTTTATTTTTTCATCTGTAGCCAACCTAAACTTGTTCTAGATCTAGAAGTCTTTTTAATTAATCATAATTTTTTCAGCTTTACTTTTATTTCTACTTTCCCAGTCTGTGCTCAGAGTTATGCTATTATTTTGCCTTTCCAACTATATTATTTTGCCTCAAAATAGCTTCACAACCCATTTGAGTTGTGAAGTTTGAGTCATTACTTTACCCATGCTAATGCCACTCAGTACCACTGAGCTACACTCCCATCTCTGAAACCCATTTTTATATTTATTGGCTTCTACAATGACCTTGTTAGGGCTTTACAGTAATGCAAAGATAGTCATTTAAATTTTTAAAATTAAGGTGTGATTCACATAGCAAAAAACTTGCCCCTTTAAAGGATACAATTCATTGGTTTTTGGTCTATTCACAAGTTTGTGGAATGTCACTGTGTTAGTTTTCGGTCACTGTGACAAAGTACCTGAGAAAGATCAAAGGAGGAAAGGTTTACTTTGACTCAGGTTACCTGAGGTTTCAGTCCATGGTTGGTTGATCCTGTCACTTCGGGCCTGTGGTGAGGCAGAACATCATGGGGGAGCATCTTGTGGAGCAAAGCTGCTCACTTCATGACAACAAGGAAGCAAAAGGAGAGAGACAAGAATGGCAAAGGTCCCAATATCCCCTTCAATGACACACCCTAATGACCTAACTTCCCTACAGTAGGTCCCACCTGTTTTTTGGGTTTTTTTTCTGATTTTTTTTTTCATGGTTCTGGTGTTTGAACTCAGGGCTTTGTGCTTGCAAAGCAGATGCTCTACCACTTGAGCCATACCTCCAGTCGTGGTTTGCTTTGTGGTTCAGACTGGCCTTGAACTAATGATCCTCCTGCTTCAGCTTCCAGAATCCTGGATTATAAGCATGGACCACCACGTGCAGCTAGGTTCTGCCTTTTAAAGTTTCCACCACCTCCACAGGCTAGGGACCAAGCCTGCTTCACATGACCTTTGATGGACATTTAAGATCCAAACTGGAGGATGGAGAGGTCAAGGCTAGCCTGGACTACATAGTGAGACACTGTCTTCAAACAAAAAATCCAAAGCATAACAGTCACTGCTCTTTAATTCAAGTAGATTTTCATCAATCCCCAAAAGAACTTCCATATTGGCAGTAAGTCCTTATTCTTCCTTCCTCCCAGCTCCTGGAAATCATTAATCTATTTTCTGTCTCTGTGGAATTGCCTACTCCAGACAGTTCATATTTTCATATAAATGGGATCATAAAATCTGGGACCTTTTTGTCTGACTTCTTTTTCTTTTCTCTCTCTCATTCTTTCTTTTTTTTCTCTCTTTCTTTCCCTCCCTCCCTTTCTTCCTTTTTTTTTGAGATGGGGTCTCTCTATGTTACCAAGGCTGACTTGAACTCATGATCCTCCTGCCTTAGCCTCCTGAATAGCTGAAATTGCAGGAATGCACCACTGTGCCTCTCTATGTCTGGCTTCTTTTACTTAGTGTAATATTTTCAAGATTCATCAGTGTTGAGCAGGTATCAGTACTTCATTCCTTTTATGGTTGAATAATAGTCCCTTGTATGGATATACCACGTTTTACTTATCCATTCATGAGTGATGGCTATTTGAGTCATTTCTACTTTTTGGTGATCATAGTAATGCCTCTGTGAACATTTGTGCACAGTTTTGTGTGAACGTGTATTTTCAGTTGTTTCTGGTGTATACCTAGGAGTAGAACTGCTGGGCCATATGGCAACTCTATGCTTATTTTTTTGAGGAACTGCTAAACTGTTTTTCAGAATGTCTGTATCATTTTATAGTTCACCAGCAATGTATGTCAGCTTCAGTTTCTCCACATTTTTATTATTTTCTTTTTCATTATAGCCATTATAGTCAACATAAACTCATATATTATTATGGTTTTCATTTAAATTTCCCTAATGACAAAAAAGGATGTTGCATAGGTTTTCATGTGTTCATATTGACCATTTGAAGACTATCTATTCAAAGTGTCTCCCCTCCCCCCTTTTGGCAGTGTTGGGCTTGAACTCAGGTTTGTACTTGCAAGGCAGATGCTCTACCATGACTCATGCCTCCAGCCAGTTTGCCCATTTTTAAGTCAAATCAGTTTTTTATTGTTGTTGTACTGGGATTTGAACTGAGGGCTTTGTGCTTGGTAGGCACATGCTCTACTACTTGAATCCTGTTTTTTTTTGTTGTTGTTATTGTTGTTGTGTTTTGTTTTGTTGTGCTGTAATGGTATTCTGGATATTAGACCTTATAGATACTGATTTGCAAAAGTTTTCTCCCATTGTGTGTGTTGTCTTTCCATCTTTCACTTTATTACTGGCATCCTTTGAGGCACAAAAGTTTTTTATTTATGTGAGACTCAGCTTACCTATTTTTTCCTTTGGTTGCTTGTGATTTGATTGTCATATGTAAGAAGCTATCACCTAGTGATGAAAATTTACACCTGAGATTTCTTTTAAAAGTTTTATAATTTTAGCTCTTGCATTATGTCTTTGATCCTTTTTGAGTTATTGTATATGGCATGAGGCAGATGAGCCCAATTTCATTATTTTGCATGTGGTTATCTAGTTTTCCCAGCAAAATTTATTGAAGAAACTTCTTTCATCCATTAAATTCTCTTGTTATCCTTAATTAAAATTGATTGGTCATAAATATCTGAGTTTATTTCTGGACTCTCAGTTCTATGCTATTGACCTATGTGTGTATGCCAGTATCATTCTTATATAAAATATGTTAAGAAAATCGTATTTTAGGGGCTGGAGTGTGGTTTAGGTAGTAGAGCA